TTTATTTATATTCTTTTTTTTCTTTCAATTTAATATATAAATAAATTCAAATCATAATATAACTATTTTTTTGTGAAATACCTTGTATCATATATAATAATTATTCAAGCGACCAATTTATTTATACCTTCTCTCTCTCTCTCTCTCTCTCTCTCTCGTTTTTTTTTCAATTTAAATACAAAGAACGAAAAGTAAACGAAAAAGTTCGTTGAGTGGCAATCTCGAAAAGTTTCTATTATAAAACTCACTCCCCAAGAATCTTTTTCTCTTATACGGATTATAGAGGGCATAAAAAGCACGGAATGCAATCAAAAAGTAACCCCCTCCCTTCCCCTTTTCCATCTCTCTCTCTATCTCTCTCACTTATTTCTCTTTTTTGTTGTTCTCTGTCTGTATGAAGAAAACTCGATTAAATTGTCTTTTAAAAAAGAGAAATACCGTACGCGTCGAGAAATCGTACCGAGAACCGTAACCAATGATTCCTCCCTTTACCCAACCCCCCACCCCCCACAAACCTTTTTTCGAGTCCCTTTCGAATTCACTTAAGTTTCCTACCTACCCCTATTTAGCTCTCAAGAGAAAATGGTGCTGAGAAAGAGAAAGAGAAAGGGGTGGGGTTGGGGGAGGAAGGAAGGAGAAACGTGAACCGTATGTGTATGTGTTTGTATCCTTCCCCCACCCCCATCCCAACCCGCCACCCCCTCGTACCTTCTCGTCGTAGCTTTGACTAATTTACCAACTAATTAAATCTCAGAAGCGAGACTCCAGTTGAGAGATTAAGGGTAACACCGTCTCCCCTCCCCCCTTCCACCCTCTCTTTCCCCTCCCCAACTAAATATGAAGTTGAGATAAACGAATTGAAATTTGTTTCGACCATTTTTTTTTCTGTTGGTTTCTTTTATAAATAATTAATTATTATAAAAATAAGAATATATATATATATAGTAATGAGAGTATTAAAATTATTTGGAAAACATAAGTTAGATTTATGTGGCAAATGTCTTTTAAATGAGCTAATTAATTATACATTATGATTTAGTATAATATAAAAAAAAAAAGAAAAGAACAAAAATTTAAAAAAAGAGAAAACAAAATCACGTTGTAAATATATATTTTTTTGTTTATCATAAATCCGAAGCAATCATTCGTTTAATCTATTACAATTTGTTCTTATATACGTAATCCATTATTAATGAATTATTTTGTTATGAAATATCTCGATTCGATCAATTTAAAATTCTATTTAACAATTAGCTATTTTCATTTTTGGAAACGTAGAAAAAACAAATCTATGATCTTTAGATATTCTCGAATTGATTGATTATCGATATCTAAACATCGGATAAATATTTATTCATTTTACACATATATTGCAATATAATCAATTTATATTTTACGAGAAAAAAAAAAAAAAATCTCTGTCTAGAAAGGAATGGAATTTAGAATTAATAGAATTTATTTCTTTTTTCACACAAACGTTATATTATCATCCCCTTTCGAAATTTATATCGACGCATGTATACGCGACTAAATCGTTTCCCTCACCCTTCCCCCTCCTCCCCATAGAAATGAAAGATGCAGTATGTTGTGAAATTGACAAGAAAAAATAAGACAATGAAAATACGTTAGAAGACAAACGACAGAAAACAAAAATAAAGAAAGAAAGAAAGAAAGAGAGAGTGAGAGTGAGAGTGAGAGAGAGACCATAAGTTTTACCGAATAACATACTCTCCTATATATATATATATATGGGGGATGGTCGTCTTTTATTCGACGTCGATGGGTTAAATCGTGCGTGACGATGAATGTTACCGGATTCGAAGCGAACCGAACCGAACCGCGTATCTTCGGTGGTGGGTGGGGGAGGGTGGGGTTAAAGAAAAAAGAGTATGGGAAGGGGTTAGGGGATAGGGGGGAGGGGTGGAGAGACGAAATTTTTCAACACTACGAATTTTACCTCTTACATTAAACTCTTCCCTTTCCTCTCTACCACCCCCCTACCCACCCTCTATTTTACTATATCAACCTCTTCCCTCTTGCCTACACTCGACGTTCTGAACGGTGCATTATTTCCGGAGTACCGGACGACGATGCTCTCGGGCGGTGCATTAATTGACTATAAATTCGGTCTCCGCATTAATTCGCCTATCTCGAGCAGCTTCCCGTCTACGCCATCTCATCCCTAGTCCTGTTTCCCATTCATCCCCCGTAACTCTCTATCTCTATCAACCTTCATCCTTGTATACGATCACTCTCTCTCTCTCTCTCTCTCTCTGTCTTTCTTATTCATACGTACACACATATATGAGCTTCATTCTCTCTTTCTTTCTATCCTTCTGCTGATTCACCGAGTATATTTTTAATAGAATAAGAATAAAAATTATAATATCAATTATTTGGATTGATTCGTAAAAATTTCATGACTTCTATTTATAGGTTATATTCGTTAACACTAATATATTATATTTATTTTATTATTATATTA